CACTGAATGAATAATTAGTCTTTGGCTACAAGTGTCCTGCACATTGTGGCTCCTAATGAACCATATGCTGTGTTTAAACACAAAGCAAATGATCCTGCAGTTAGTGTGGTGAGGATACGGGGCTGTGAGTGAAGACAGGCCTCTGGAGTATAAATCAGTACAGGATATGAGTCTTTAATGTGAAAAAAAACCCGCTCGTATTTCACTCAGAGCGACGAGCCACCTGTAGGAACAAGGATCTGAAAGCCTGACCCTGCCGGCCCTCTGAGAGCCTGCGTGTGCAGCAGAAGGCCGGCCACTGGTGTCTGACACTGATTTGTAAAGGCAGACAATACGGCTCATTGACCTGCTCTGCTCCTCTGTCTGTTACTCACACCTCAGCCAGCCTCTCCACGGCCTTTAAACACTACACCAGATTGCCGCAGGCTGAGGGAGGGGCCGCGTGGGGGGGGGCAGAATGGTAATGGGATACTTGTTGCTTTGACAATGAGATTCCACAGAAAGAAGAGGGGGAGCACGAGGTGGCACGTGAGCAAGAGCGACTTCAGCGCTGAAGACAAAAGTTCTCCACGGTTTTATTCTCCTCACCGTCAGATCAAATGACCCAAATCCTCTTCCATCTGCTACTGTTATTTAAACCTGCACACTTGCTTACATCACTGCCTGTAACTTATGAGTTGGGTAATAAAACTAATGATTTTTGGTGTAAGTTGCATCCTTATCACCCCTTGGGGAAAAAAGCTTCTCCATCTCCATTTTTGTCATTTTATGATTGGGCCAATATTAATATACAAATATAAATAATGGACCTATTTTCATTTTGGGAAATAAAAGGAGAATTCCACCATTTTTTCAAAAATTCTATATAAAATTCAGCACAGTGTAATTTCTGTACAGTGGTGTTGATAGGAACCAGGGGGTAACCATGACTACAACACACATATAGACATTTTTTTACTATCCAAAACCACCAGTGAACCTGCACGAGTCTTCTGAGTGATTATGGTAAAATAGTGGAAAGCCTGAAAAAATACATTTTCTTTGGGGACTATTTTGCCTCACAACACCATGCATGTATCCTTCCACCATAAATGAGTTTTAAAAACATAATTTACTCCCAAAACCTTCTTATAACTGTCATAAACCAGTGTCTCAGACATCAGGCCGTTCATTTAATAACTTTCTGTGAGGGAGCTTTTAGAGGTGGACGTCTGGTTCCTATCACCACCACTGTGAACAGTTCTGACTGTAACTTTCTCTAGAGCTGAGCTTTTCACACCAAACCACTCTGTTTACATATTGTTTACATATTAACATTTGAATTATGCTGCAATTTTGAAAAATCGGTGGAATTCCCCTTTCAGCTAATCATAAGGCTTAATGTAATCTGCAGGCTAATGGCTAATAATGAGGCTTTATCTGACGGAGGATCCCCAAACCACTCTGAATGACTTTGTTTACATTGTGTCCATTTAATTATGCAGAAACCTTGGAAATCTGGTGGATTTCCCCTTTTTCCCCTTCATGAACAGTTACCCTGTTGCAGAAACAATGCTTTCTTCTGACAGCAGCCATATTCATCACTAAGGCAGCTCTCAGTATTAAACCTAATAACCTCTAAATTCATATGATTTCTGATTTGACTAATAGCACTAATGACTTTGGGTCAAATGTCCTCTACTGTTCTTGTTTTGACAGACTGAAAATAGGCCAACATTAATCACAGCTGCATTTTATGACGACGTAACAAAGTCAGTATCCAGTTGTATGCAAATGTTTGGGCGCCCCTGGTCAAATTCATGCTGTGTTGAGGGTCTAAGTGTAAAGAAGTGAGCACATCCTGTACAGAGAACACATTTCTGCACATTTTGATGCAGAATTACTGTCGATTTGCTCAAACATATTGAAAAGTAAAGCGTAAAATGTGTGAGTTTTTATGCTTTATTATTCTTCCAGTGTGTTTAACTCAGCAAATAAGCAGTAATTGTATTACTGTATTAAAATGTGCAGGAGTGTGTCTCTGTTGAGGATGTGCTCACTTATTTACACTTAGAACCTCAACAACAACATGGAACTTGACCTTCTTGCATACAACTCTATCTTGACTCTGCCTGGTTTGAGTGAATGGAAAATATTGATGATTTATTTATTTGGATTATTGCATTGTTATTTATATGCTGTGAAACTGTTTGGGTGTTTTATAGTAATTTAAATTTATATTTATTGACATTTACACTCTGTATGGTTCTTCAAGGGTTCTTTATTAAAGGCACCGGTTCTATGTAAAACCATGAGTTCTATATAGAACCATTTCATGCTTAAATTGTCTTTGCAAAGGTTCTTCAGACTGATGGAGGGTGTGTGGAACATGATTTTATATAGCACCAAAAAGGCTTCTGCTATTGTTACGATGTCAAGCTTGAAGTAGAAGAATCCTTTTTTGGTTCTATAGAATCATTTTCAAAAGGGTTCTCTGTGCAAAGCATGGAATAGTTTAAGCATTTAAGCATGGAATAGTTTTATATAGAACTCATGGTTCTAAATAGAACCAAACTCTTTACTAAAGAACCCTTGAAGAACCACCTTTTTAGGAGTGTAATAGTGAGTAAACAGAAGAGTAATCAATGTGTTACGTTCTATTATTATTATATTAATTAGTTTATGCACTCAATCTATTCGAATGTGAACACATCACTTTTTCACTTCTGGCCTTTTCACATGTAAACAAACAGTGACCTTCAGTATCGCTGTGGCTTTTGAAGCCTCATAGAACTGACGCACATCACGACTTAATCCTACTCAGTTTAAGGTCCTTTACAGGGTTCCTTACTGCAAAGTAGAACTGTCAAAAATTCAACCTGGGACAGATGAGTTATGCGGTCACTGTCATTCAGCTGACCTAATGCATATGCTTTGGACTTCTCATATATTTATATTGTCAAGTTTCTGGATGGCAATTACTGACTGTTTATCAGTCAATCAATGGATCAATCAACCTTTATTTCGACTCGGAAGTACATTGGAGGAGACCCTCATTTACAGTGTAGCCGAGCAAGTTAAAATGAAATTTACCAACCAAAACAAATAAAATCATCAAGACAAAGAGATTTATAAAATAATAAAAATAAATAAATAAATAAATAAATAAATAACAGCTCAAACAGAAAACAGGCCTAAAATATCAAAAAATACATAATGAAAACACATTAAAATGAAGTAAAAGAACCACCTTAGATGGTAAAAGCAATAAGAAAACTAAAATATTAGAAAAAAATAAAATATTTACTAGAAAAGAGCAGTAAAAGAATTAACAACAAGTAAAACAGCAATAAAATATTAAAATAAATGATTATGATGATGACTATCATTATTATTATTATCATTATTATTATTATTATTATTATTGTCATTGTTGTTGTTAATAATGATGATAATAATAACGATGATGATGATGATGATAATAATAAATAAATAAATAAATAAATAAAAGAGAAAGGAAAAGTTAAACTCCACTAAAACACTTACCGGCTGTCTGAAGGTGGCTACAGACTAAAAGTTTAAAATGACTGAGTGACACCAGCGAGCTTGACCCCGTGTTTGACCCAGAGATTGTACCAAGTTTATCTGGGCTAATCAAAACTGATTCCAAACAGGATTTAGGAGGCCTTGGCCTTTGCTCCCCTTATGGCAAGGAGGAGGATATTGATTAATTGGAGATCACTGTATTCACCAAAGACCTCAGTGGCTCTGCGATCTTCTGCTTTTCCTTAAACTAGAAAAGATTAAACTTTAATCTAGAAAGGCATCATAGAACTTGGGATCCCATTATTGCATATTATGAGAAGCTGAAATGTCTCCCCACTAACTCACCCCACATTCCTCTTCTATGTGAATGTTACTCTTTAGCTAGAATAGCTAGAATCCCAATATCTGTACAGTGATATGACTCCATCTGTATTTTATATTTGATTTGTTTCTTCCTAACCTAATTAACTGTCAAATAATGTTTATCGCTGTTGTCGGAAGAAAACCTCGAATCTCCAAAATGGTAACTTTACAGGAGAAGGAAAAAACATACTTTACTTTTAATGTAAGTCAATGGAACCAGAATTTTTTCCAAGTAATTTTAGGCCTTTTATTTTGGTCCGTTCTTCATGAAATTTACACGCAAGGTAAAGAACAACAGGCATTTTCAAATTATGACAAAAACTGAAAAACGATACGAGGTTTTGTTCTGACATCAGTGATAGGGACGAGTACTTCTTGATCTATTTATTACTATATAACCACATATTTATAGTTATGTAAGTTGTTCTTTTAATATTGTTTTAGTTCATGTTATGATGTAAAATGTGGGACGTAGAGAAATGGCTAAAACTGTGTATTTGCATAAAATAGTGTTGAAAAAATAATAATTGCTGCACATTTTAAGCAACTTAGCACTTCACCAAATAGAGTCTGTGTGGACGAAATAATATTTTTCTCATAAAATATACATAAATATGTTTAAACATGCAGACACTTTCCTCTCTGTGTCAACAAACAGGCTTCATTATTCATTCCCATTGTCAGAGTTTGGAGATGACCTCTCTCTCTCTCTCCCTCCCTCTCTCTCTCTCTCTCTCTCTCTCTCTCCCTCTCTCCCTCCCTCCCTCTCTCTGTCTCTCTCTCTCTCTCTTCTTTTCTTTTCTCACTGTCAGTGACAAGCTGTTGCTCGGTCCCTCTGGGCCACTCCCTCTCTTGTCTGTGCTCTCTGTCTCCTCCCTCTTTCTCTCTCCTGTCTCCCTCTCTCTCTCTCTATCTCTCTCTCTCTCTCTCCCCACCTGTTGACTCCATTGTTGAGCTGGTGGCATTGTGCCCTCTTATTCTTTAGCTCCACTCACTTTACACACCCCTCTTTTATCCCTCACTGTTTCAGCACCGTCCCCCTTTCTCTCTCTGAGCGTATATAAGGGGTCAGCGGAGAGGAGCAGGTCAGATTCACGGCGGCTCCACACACGTATAACACCAGCACTGAAATACAGTAACGTTCAAACAGAGACGTATACGTACTCCTTCATTCGGACTCAAAAGGAGCTACAGGAGCGAAGACAGCGCTGGACCTCACTCTAGGAGCAGGTAAGCAACCTCCAGGAGCCCCAGGAGCCAAGGGCCGCATGCATAATTACAGCTGGGAACCCTTGGGACCCCAGTCTAATGATTTCTGTGAAAATGGAAGAAAATGCCTGTAGTTTTGATTCATTTTCACTTAATGGAATCTTTGTATTTGTTTTAAACTTGTTTTAAAACTCTTTTGTAGTAATTTGTGATTCATACTTAATCATTTTATCATCAAATATTTCAAGACTGCTGCCTTTTTTGAGGGCTCTTAAACTCCAGTTATAGGACTTCATAACAGTGACTTATGTGCGTTCATGTTGTCAGTGAGTGAGCTGCTTTATTTAGCTTATAAGCTGTTTAACTCACCAGCCAGTCAGCACGCTGTAGCAGTGATGCTAACCAATAAGCACTCTGTACCAGTGATGCTAACCAATCAGCACTCAGTAGCAGTAATGCTAACCAATCAGCACTCAGTAGCAGTAATGCTAACCAGTCAGCACTCTGTAGCAGTAATGCTAACCAATCAGCACTCTGTAGCAGTGATGCTAACCAATCAGCACTCAGTAGCAGTAATGCTAACCAATCAGCACTCAGTAGCAGTAATGCCAACCAATCAGCTCTCAGTAGCAGTAATGCTAACCAATCAGCACTCTGTAGCAGTAAGGCTAACCATTCAGCACTCAGCAGCAGTAATGCTAACCAATCAGCACTCAGTAGCAGTAATGCTAACCAATCAGCGCTCAGTAGCAGTAATGCTAACCAATCAGCACTCAGTAGCGGTAAGGTTAACCAATCAGCACTCAGTAGCAGTAATGCTAAACCAATCAGCTCTTAGTAGCAGTAAGGTTAACCAATCAGTACTCAGTAGCAGTAATGCTAACCAATCAGCACTCAGTAGCAGTAATGCTAACCAATCAGCACTCAGTAGCAGTAATGTTAATCAATCGGCACTCAGTAGCAGTAAGGTTAACCAATCAGCACTCAGTAGCAGTGATGCTAACCAATCAGCACTCGGTAGTAACAATGCTAACCAATCAGCACTCAGTAGCAGTAATGTTAACCAATCAGCGCTCAGTAGCAGTAATGCTAACCAATCAGCGCTCAGTAGCAGTAATGCTAACCAGTCAGCACTCGGTAGTAACAATGCTAACCAATCAGCACTCAGTAGCAGTAATGTTAACCAATCAGCGCTCAGTAGCAGTAATGCTAACCAGTCAGCACTCGGTAGTAACAATGCTAACCAGTCAGCACTCAGTAGCAGTAATGCTAACCAATCAGCACTCAGTAGCAGTAATGTTAACCAATCAGCACTCAGTAGCAGTAATGTTAACCAATCGGCACTCAGTAGCAGTAATGTTAACCAATCGGCACTCAGTAGCAGTAATGCTAACCAATCAGCACTCAGTAGCAGTAATGTTAACCAATCGGCACTCAGTAGCAGTAATGCTAACCAATCAGCACTCAGTAGCAGTAATGTTAACCGATCAGCACTCAGTAGCAGTAATGTTAACCGATCAGCACTCAGTAGCAGTAAGGTTAACCGATCAGCACTCAATCACCTAGTCAGAAAGTTCAAGCAGCAAGAAGTCAGGAACCAAACCTGTGTTCTTATAACCAACATATTCATAACTCATAATTCATAATTCAATACTTGTATTTATTTTAATGTTACAGTGTTTTAACTGACAGAAACACTTTTGCTGCCCACATAGTGTTACTGTTTTGATCTGCTGATCTACAGCAGCCAAATCTCAGCCGATTTCATCACTGTAACACTTCCTCCTCTCTTCACCGCTTGTCTCTGTAGCCGATCTCTCAGGGCCGATTCCTCTGCTTTAACCATCCAAACTCAGTAACTCAGCCGCTGCTGGGGGACACACACTCGGGCCTGCAGGTGGAGGGGATGTCTGTGTCTCTGTGGTGTGAGGAGGAGGATGTCCAGCCCGTTGGTCAGAGAGAATCAGTCTCGGTCCGAGCCCCCCGGGACCCCCATGCATCAGGACTGAGGGTCATCCACGGCCTGCTGCACTCACAGGACAGATACCTCCCCTCCTCGCTGTACACCTCACTCATCCAGAGAGACCCCAAACGCAGAGAAGAGCTGGCCAAGTGGACACTGGAGGTACAGCTGACTGACCCTTTAAAATTAAACTGCAGATTTATTATTCAGTAATTTATCACATAACTTCAAACAGTCATATGAATTATTCAGTAACATATACATTTTTCATAACTGTTATAAACTATTTAGTAACTATTATGAATTATTCAGTATATATTGTGAATTATTAAGTGTATATATAATGAATTATTCAGTATCTACCATGAATTATTCAGTTACCTATAAACTATTCAGTATTTACTATGAATTATTCAGTATATATTATGTATAATTCATTGTCTACTATGAATTATTCCGTATCTATTATTGATTTATGCAAAGAATTTCTCTCATATTTACAAAATCATTATTGTATTCTACTTTATAACTGTTTTCAATTCTGTTTTATTAATCTAATAATCAGAATGTTTAATTAATAGTACATAATATTAATTAACATTAGAACAATATTAATACACACACATACACATTTTCTAAACCGCTTATCCTTCTGGGTCGCGTTGGGGTGCTGCGCTGAGATAATATTAATCAATAGTAATATTCAGAATATACTCTTTTGTATACTTTTGCTTGGAGCAATTATTCTGATATTGAAATATTAATGACTTTTTTTGAATATTAATGAGTCATTTGCATATTCAATGACTCTGAAAGAGAATTGGATGTGCTTATTTACTCTCTCTCTCTCTCTCTCTCTCTCTCTCTCTCTCTCTCTCTCGGCAGGTGTGCTGTGACTGTGGTTGTGATGAGTCCGTGTTCCCGCTGGCCGTCTCTCTGCTGGACCGTTATCTGTCCGCCACTTTCTCTCTGCCCTCCTCTCCGTACTGTCTGGCCGCAGCCTGCATCCTGGTGTCCTCTAAGCTGGTGGAGAGCGATCCGGTCAGTGCGGACACTCTGTGTGCTGCAGCGGAGTACGAGTTCCTGACCTCCAGCCTCAGGGTGAGTCTCTGGAGTACCGGGCACGGCCGGAGCTTCTGGCCACCACTTCTTTATCTGCCTTTACTGCAAGTGTAAACCTCTGACCTACATTTGAGCGTCCCGTTCTATTGGTCAGAGCTTTTCTGTGGAGATCATACACACTGCCAGCATGCAAGTGAACGCCTTAAAGTGGACACAGAGGACATGTCTTGGAAACTGAGTGTATTTATGCACTGTTGACGCTCTTTTTCTCGTCTGCAGGAGATGGAGCGCGTGGTCCTGGGCACTCTGAGGTGGGACGTGGCTGCAGTGACCCCTCAGGACTTCATCCCTCACTTGCTGTCGTGTCTGGAGGAGCTGGAGGGAGACGATGCAGACAGGGACTTCATCTCGACCCTCAGACGTCACAGTGACACTCTGGTGGCCTTGTGTGTTTGTGACTCCCGCTTTCTGGGCACGCCAGCCTCTCTGGTGGCCGCAGCGGCGGTCAACTCAGCCATCCGGGGCCTGGAAGAGAAAAGCCGGAGAGAAACGAGTCACCTGACCTCCACACTGGCCATGCTGTGTCAGACTGATGTGGTGAGTTTGTAAGATTTGGTCCTTTCCTGTCCATTTCATCTACCACTCACTCCACAGTCCAGATAGTCCATGTATGGAAGCTACACTGCACAATTGCCTGTTTTGTGACAACACAAAAAACAGTGCATGTACATATATCTGCCTGTTCAGTACTACTATGAATTATTCAGTATCTACTGTGAATTATTCAGTATCTACTATGAATTATTCAGTATCTACTTTGAATTATTCAGTATCTACTATAAATATTCAGTATTTACTATAAATATTCAGTATCCATTATGAATTATTCAGTATCTACTATGAATTATTTGGTATCCATCATGAATTATTCAGTATCTACTCTGGATTATTTAGTATCTGCTATGAATTATTCAGTACCTACTATGAATTATTCAGTATCTACTATGAATTATTTGGTATCCATTATGAATTATTCAGTATCTACTCTGGATTATTTAGTATCTACTATGAATTATTTAGTATCTACTATGAATTATTCAGTATCCATTATGAATTATTCAGTATCTACTATGTGTATGAAGTCTATACAGTCCATATATGGGAACTAAGCTGCAAAAACATTTGTGATGTTTGTGATGTCACAAAAAACAATGCATTTACATTTATCCTACTTTTCCGCCAACAGCAGTTTAGCTTTGTCCACTCACACTGACGTTATAAGGAATGTTTCAGCCTAGACTGCTTTTTAAATGAGGCACAGCCAATCTGAACAGAGCTCATTTACATACATCAGTCTTAAAGGCACAGTAACACAAAAAACAGCCTGTTTAATTCTACAGGATAAAGAGAAATTGGAAAAAGGTAAAAAAATAAAGTGTGGCTGTTTTTGGTACATAAAAGCGCACAAACATCATAAAAGCACCTCGAGAATAAAAATAAAATTGAAGAAAAAAAAATAAAAATGAAGAAAAGGGGGACATGGGCCCTTTAAAGGTACAGCCTGTTTAATTCTGAATGACCAAGAGAAGTTAGAAAATGGTCATTCAGAAATAAGTTATGACTTTTGGTGGAACATAAAAGCACACAAATATCATAAATGGATAAAGATGTAAGATATGAGCTCTTTAAGGCCCTTCAAAGCCCTTTAAATGTAACCAAATGAAACCCTCTGTGTCCCACAGGCTGTGCTGCAGTGCTACAGTGAGCTGATAGAGGACGCTCTCAGGGAACGACTGAGAAACAGCGGAGAGGAAGAGGAGAAGGACGGAGGGATGGAGGATGAAAGGTCCAGCACACCAACCGACCTGAGAGAGATAGACTTTTAACACACAGGAATAAAGGAGCCATTTAAAGTTGAACTGCAGTCTTGCTGTTAGTTATCAGTGAAACTGATGTAAACCTGCTTTTATGAATGCTGTCTTATCAAATGATCTAATGCTTATTTAATAATTATTCTTATTTATTTGTTTCTTTGAGGTATTAAGGTGCTATGCGTCTCTGTTTCGTTGCCATTACTGTGATTTCTGTGATTTTATTTCCAACTACCTTTTGTGTTGGGTGGCATTTTTGCTGTGTGAGGGTCTAAGTTATGAGGTATACTGTTAATTTATTGATTATCGATTTATTTATTATGTGGATGTTATAATTTGTGTATTTATTTTATTTGGCGGTTTTTGCTCTGTATGACAGTGTCCAATGAAATCTATTTTTCAATTAAATAATATTTTTATCTATTTTCAAATAATAAATAATATTGACTAAGCTTTTGGTCCAGTGAATTTTACTGTGTTATGTGACGACATTATCTCGTATATATATATATATATATATATATATATATATATATATATATATATATATATTATATATATATATATATACCTCCTTGTTTCTACGCTCATTGTCCATTTTATCAGCTCCACTTACTATATAGGTGCACTTTGTAGTCCTACAGTTACAGACTGTAGTCCATCTGTTTCTCTGCATACTTTGTTAGCCCCCTTTTACCCTGTTCTTCAGTGGTCAGGACCCCCATGGACCCTCACAGAGCAGGTACTACTTGGGTGGTGCATCATTCTCAGCACTACAGTAACACTGATGTGGTGGTGGTGTGTTAGTGTGTGTTGTGCTGGTCTGAGTGGATCAGACACAGCAGTGCTGCTGGAGTTTTTAAACACCTCAGTGTCACTGCTGGACTGAGAATAGTCCACCAACCAAAAACATCCAGCCAACAGCGTCCTGTGGGCAGCGTCCTGTGACCACTGATGAAGGACTAGAGGATGACCAACACAAACTGTGCAGCAGCAGATGAGCTATCGTCTCTGACTTTACATCTACAAGGTGGACTGACAAGGTAGGAGTGTCTAATAGAGTGGACAGTGAGTGGACGCAGTGTTTAAAAACACCAGCAGCACTGCTGTGTCTGATCCACTCACACCAGCACAACACATACTAACACACCACCATCATGTCAGTGTTACTGCAGTGCTGAGAATGATCCATCACCCAAATAGTACCTGCTCTATATATATACATATTCACACACACACACATTAATCTACCCATAAAATTATTGTGAATGTATGGTATTTTTTGTTTTTGTGCCATTATATGTAAATAAGCTCTACTATGATTGGCTGTACAGTATCCTGTATTGTATCCTGTGCCTCAAACAAAAAGCAGTCTGGGTTGAAACACTCATTATTACGGAGCCCCCGCATTAGGGGGGGGATGAAAGTATTAATAATGTTTCAAAACACACTCACCAGTCCGTACATAGAAGAATAACGCGTGGCCACGACTTAGTAAGGCGTGGGAATGAGATGATTAAGTCGTGGCCACGACTTAGTAAAGCGTGGGAACGAGATCCTAACGCGTGGCCACGACTCAGTAAGCCGTGATTTCGTTCCCACGCCTTACTAAGCCGTGGCCACGACTTAATCATCTCATTCCCACGCCTTACTAAGTCGTGGCCACGCATCAGGATCTCGTTCCCACGCGTTAATAAGGCGTGGCCACGCATTATTTTTATTTTTACAGGATGTCACCAGCGGGGCTCCGTACTAACTACATTAAACTCGTTTATTTACAAAAGTGCGGATGTTTCGGTTTCACGTGGCCTGGCCCTTTAATATCCAGTCACCCCGGGCCACGTCCGCGATGCTTCTTGCTTACGTCATCTCCCTGGGTCTGCGTGTGGTCGTGTAGTAAGTTTCCTGCACGACGGCGACCAAAAATAACTCGCTGAGCTTTGAGATACAGGTTAACTGAACTCGGTATCAATTCGAGGACGAGAACCACAACAACAGCCGCCGCGGTGCCCGTCCAGCAGGCTGTCACGGTAAGCAGGAGAACCAGACGGGCTGTTCGACCTCAGGTTGACAGAACTGAGTCGTTTGGGCTGCTAACGCGGCTAAAGCTAAACTGGAGCCGCTCGGTTTGGCTGTTATTAATGTTTACGGACGTAGTTTAATGACAGTGAACTACAGTCTCGGCGGTTTGGGGCGATTTTCCTACATGTAAATCCGAGTAAATCAGAATCTGGAAACCAGTGGTCGAGTTAACGGAGATTCAGCTGTTGATTGCTGATGGAGCCGCACAGAGGAGCCTGACCACGTAAAGCCACTCTGAGCTGAAGGCGATGTTACCGTAATGAGATCATGACTCAAACAGGAGTGATGAAAGTAGCCTAGTTATAGAGGTTCTTCTGTAGAACTGCAGTGGAACCTCAGTCGAACCTCAGTCGAACCTCAGTCCCTCCAGGTACCCGGTCAGATTCAGAAGCAGAGCTGGGCGATATGGCGAAAATGCAGCATCGTGATACTTCAAGTAAGGTTTAACCTCTAATTGACCAGGGTGTATTTTGGTTTGTCTATCTGAATTTACATGACCAAATCGTAAGGCAAATAATTCAGTAACTGCATGAAATAAATGTTTTTATTTTATTTATTTATTTGTTTATTTTGTAAAAACTCCCCTCAAATTAACAGAACATGTGTTTTATGATACACATATTTCAATACGCTTACAATTTACTGCTGAAAGCCAAAAATCTTATATAAAATATAATATCTATAAAATTAATTTTTACAGAGCAGATCACTGAAGAGACGCCATCTGTTTACAGTTTGTAGCCCAGATATGTGAGTTCAGCTTCTTTTATTATAAGGGTTTAAAATGACATCACCCATCTATTTGACTGGAAGGAAGCCCATTACAGCTCTCATATGACCCCCACCTTCTGAATGTAGCTTATGAAATCTGAAAGTTATGAAGAATATGGTGAAGTGCGTTTTGGAACCACCGGTGCTCTCGAGGGGTTAAAAAGGTTAGACGATATGCCACGATCTTTAGTTTAGCTCATGACGTTCAGGTGGGACAAAGTAAGAAGGACCTACATTTTAAAAATGCTATCAAAAGCTGTGATTTTATTAAGTGTTGGGCAAACTGTGTATACATATATACATATTCATATATAACAAACATAAAATAGACAGTACACAAACAAGCTGCAAGTGGAAGGATGTGCAATGGAACATAAGTACAAATACAACCAAGTACTGAAGTACTGAGGTACATATGTACAGCAAATACAGGTAAAATAATCAGTAAATGTAAATGTAAACATATGGTCAGTGCTCCACCAGTACTGACGATATACACAATATGGTCAGAAAAACATTTTGTATTATACTGTGACAGTTTATCAAAATAGCTGTATATATTGTCATATTGACCAGCCCTGATCAGAATCTGTATTCGCCAAGTATCAGGCAATTTCTCGTGGTGCAGGTGTTAACATAAAGTGAAAGCTAGTAAAGTAATTATAGGAAAAGATATATATGTATATATGTATATGTGTGTATGTATATATGTACATGTATATGTGTGTATGTATGTGTGTATATATACATACATACATACATACACATATATATATATATATATATATATGTACATGTATATGTGTGTATGTATGTGTATATATACATACTACATACATACACATATATATATAATATATATATATATATATATATATATATATATATAAAACATGAAATAGACAGTACACAAACAAACTGCAAGTGGAAGGATGTGCAATGGAAGATAAGTACAAATACAACCAAGTACTGAAGTACTGAGGTGCATATGTATAGTAAATACAGCTAAAATAATCGCTCAGTAAATGTAAACATATAAAATATCTATATTGCAATACATGAAAGTGCATATGTGCGCTGATTAAAGTACAGGGAAGTGGGAAAGATTCTTATTCAGAAGGATTAGATCAGATTAGATACAGCTTCATTGTACAGGTACAGAGCCAATGAAATGCAGTTAGCATCTAACCAGAAGTGCAAAATACAGTATTATTTACACATAAAGTGCAGAAGGGCAGCAGAGTGGTTAAAAATACAGATTATGCAAGTATAAATACAGTATACATATATATATATATATACACACAGAGTGAGTGGAGAGAATGCAGATGTAGGTAGTCTGTAGTGTGAGAGCAGCATATTGTGAAAGATATGCAGAGTAAACTTGTACAGTAACTGTCTGTGCAAATATGAATAGTGCAGTAATACTAGGATGTGAAGTGCAATACAGGTCAGTGAGTGCCAAGATGCGGTTAAAGTGGCGATGTGGAGTTCAGCAGGGTCACAACCTCAGGGAAGAAGCTCTTCCTGAGCCTGCTGGTGCGGGAACGGCGGCACCTGTAACACCTGCCAGATGGATGGAGGGTAAAAAGTCCATTATTATGATTATGATATGGAATAGACAGTAATGATGTGCATTACTGTTGGGATGTGAGAAGAGTCCTTGTTCAGGAGGATGAAGAAAGAGGCTATGGAGGTGACGGTTGGTCTGAATCTTTAGGGCTCTCGCTCTTGGTCTGTACTTGGGTCGCTACGTTTGACTCCGTCCTTCTCTTTTTGCATTAATTTGGTCTAAAATGAAAAGCCAAACTTCCAGACTGAGAAGTGTGAGCAGCGCTTAAGTGCTGAACCAACACAACATAATGAAATTAAACCTAAAAGAAGAATTAGGAGCTAAATGTTAAGGCTTTCTGACATTCTTAGCTAATAAAGCTTAGACAGCTTTGCTTCAATTCTTGTTGTCTTTTTCCTTTATTAGGATTATGGTGGGGATTTGTCGCTGGCTGCTGCTTCTGTCCATCTCTCTGAGGGTGTGGTCAGTGCCCATCGACCGAAAGACTAATGACCAAGAAGCCCCGCCTCCACAGGAGGAGAAAGGAGAAGAAAATGTGGTATGGAGAAGTTGCTTTTGTCTTATCCGTCTCTGTTTTAGTGTTTGGACAGCACTGCATTCTCTACAGAGGGTACAATGTGTGCTCTGCTGATGGCTGTGACATGTACACTGCAGCATTATGTAATGTGTACGTGCACAGCAGCAGCGAAGCAGGATATCTTCAGGCTAAACTATCTAATAGGAATGTCTCTGACATCTCCTCTAAATGGACAGGTATAGTCTGACATCGATCAGCCAAGACATGTTTGGTGCCTGTTTTGCTTGTTTAGTCAACTCTTTTTAATAATTACACACCCAGGTTTTCACTCAAACCACATCCAGTTCTTTATTAAGCTGTGCAAACTTGTTCATGTGGTGTAGGACGTCTTAAGTCATACAGTGCTCTAAACCAGTGTTTCTCAACCTGTGGGCCATGAAGCACCCTCTAGTGGTCCGCGGGTCTGTACTCGGAGGGAGGCATTAGTTCCTAGTGGGCCGGTAACATCACTGTAAGTCATAAAAACGTAAGTGGGAAAGAGATCAATTTAATAATTAAAAATCTATAAATTAAATGTTTTCACATCAAAATCAACATAAATATTAATAGAGACGTACAAATAAAAACGTCGCAATAGCGGGCTAATTAAAAACACAATGGACTGCGGCTCCAAATCACAGTGCACATCTACTTTGTACATTTCTATTCTTTTATTTTGTTCTTTTTCCCCTTCACTACATCATTACAACCATGTGTTTTTAACACGTTTAACTTTTTTTTAACATACCTGCAAATTTTGCAAAAGTACTGACAACCAGAATGGCCGATCTGGTCTTTTTCAGGCCCTGATTCTCAGGTTTTCAGTGTCAGCATTTAAGAAAAGAAAAATAAAGTTGTGTTTAAAAAAGCTGATTTTTGTTTTTCCTGAGGGCTGCAATGCTTTGTTGTTATACCCAGGTGGGCTTTGGGGGTGGAAAAGTTTGAGAACGTTTAGGGTGTCTGGCTAACTGGCAGTGGGTGGAATAGTGTAGTAACAACGCTGCCTTTCCTACAGTGGACGCTGCCTGGACAAGAACACCTTGCTAAACTATAAGAGTCCTTGGGCAAGACTGGTGGACATGGATTAAGACTAGTCTTGTGCTGAATTAGTGTGCCAGTGGTGTCACACTATTATATATCTTCTTTGGTGTAGACTTAGACTTGGTCTGGAAAACTGGCCTATAATGCACTATTTCGATGTAACAGTCATTACTTCATGACCGCCATTGTGCACTAGGTAGGGAATAGGGAGCCGTCTGAGGTTGAGCCGTGGCCTGACCCTCGTTTTCCCTGATGCGAACCTTTGATAAACTCTCAGTAATAAACTCTGCAGGGCTGCAACCAATCAGGCCCCAAATTTGACCCCACAACAGTGTCTGTAGTTCATATGGATGACGATATGCATGTTTTATAGGACACAGGCCTGTACTATGACCGTTACCTGAGGGAGGTCATCGAGGTCCTGGAGACGGACCCTCACTTCAGAGAAAAACTACAGACAGCCAACACAGAAGACATTAAAGTGAGTATCTCTCTCTCTCTCTCTCTTATTCTCCCTTTTCCAACTGTGTTCTTATCTTTATAGTTTTCTCTCTAAATCTGTCTCTCTTCCCCTCCTCTCCTGATTCTCTTTCCTCTGATATGTGAACGATGTGTTGTTTCAGAATGGCCGTCTCAGCAAAGAGCTGGATCTGGTGGGTCATCATGTCAGGACTCGACTGGATGAGCTGAAGAGGCAGGAAGTGTCGCGCCTCAGGATGCTGCTGAAAGCTAAACTGGACAGCACAAACATGCAGAGTAAGGCCCACAAACTTAACGTCAGTTTGTCACAGGATTTCTTGTCTTTTTGTCGTGAGGCGCTCAGACTAGACGACAGGGCAAAGAGAGAGAATAACGCACATCACGAGTTTGGGCTACAATAAGAACTCAAACTCCCAGATCTCCTCAGAGATCATAACACAAATTACGCTAAACTTTCTGGACCTGTTAGTGCTTTTATGCCCAGTGAATAATGGTGATTTTTTATTTTTTTATGCACAGTGATTAGTATGTGGTGAGAGAGGCTGATACAGTGAGAGCTGGAGAAATATTTCACTACAAACTGGCAGCTGAGCTGTAATTGTAAAGAGTGCCTTGACCTCTCCACACATTGTAAACATGATATCGGCTCTTATCTGCCTGTGTTTCACACGCAGCTCCTCTGGCTCCGCTCTGCTCTTCAGGCTTGTCTCTTTGCCTGTTTCTCTGCTATGATTGGCTGTTGTTCGAATCACTCGTTGAGTAAATCTCTGACCTTCTCACTGCAGAACTTGTAAACATTTTGAGTCGTAAATATTAAACATGCTTGATAATGTTGGAGGGTCTCTGATCACTTCAGAGCTCGATTGGAGGGCTAAAGATTCACTCGTTTCTCCTCTCGCATTAACAGATCATCAGCGCCGTCAGTCGCTTCTGTTTGAGCTCCGCAGCTGGAGAGTTGCTTCAGATTGTAAAAATTTGTCGCAAGAGGCAAATCAGGGTCAAAAAAATTCCAGCCTAAGAGTGAATGACACATGGCAGTCAGCAGTCATGGGCTGGAGGTTAGGGAACCAGCCCTGTGACCAGAAGGTGGCCGGTTCGATCCCCTGAGCTGACAGTACGTGACTGAAGTGCCCTTGAGCAAGACACCTAACCCCCAACTGCCCCCCGGGCGCTGTGGATAGGGCTGCTCACTGCCCCCTAGTGTGTGTGTTCGCTAGTGTGTATGTGGTGTTTCACTGCACGGATGGGTTAAACGCGGAGGCGAAATTTCCCCATTGCGGGACTAATAAGGGTCACTTAATCTAATCTAATCATTGTTTACTTAAAGCTGTAAATATATTCCGACAGACTGTAATACACTACAAGAAGTGTAGGGGGCTGCATGACTCCTGTTGTTTAATTTACAGACCGAACTTCTCTCACTCACTCATGTTGTTTGTAGGTGTTCAGATGGATCATGTGTCGTTACTGAAGCAGTTCGAGCATCTGGATCCACACAATCAGAACACGTTTGAGGCCAAAGATCTGGAGCTGCTCATCGCTGCGGTAACAGAGAGATTATTTAGAATTTAGAGAACTTTAGAGATTATTTTTTACATTATTATTTGTAAGATGAAGGGCGGGGGGATATGTCTTATGCTGGCAATATCAGAGTATAATATAAGGCAATATTTTTCAAGGAAGAAATCTTTTGTCTAGGCACAGTGTCATGGCTATTTTTACCAGGTAGTCAATTGGCTGCATATGTTTCCATCACTGACTCTAAGCGTCAAATTCAAGAGGTTTTCTGAAATTAAATGTTGTTCTACTTGCACAGTGACAGTAAATGGAACTCTGTTCTACTCCAGTGTTAAGTAAAATCTTGCATGTTTCAGTCTTGGCTGTATGGGGCTCTAAACAGCCTGTTTCACATACACAGTGCCTCTGTGAAACAGGACTAGGAGAGATGCAGTATTACAGTTATGAAGTTCCCTAGTTAAATCAGTCTGTCTGTCTGTCTGTCTGTGTCAGGCCACTAAAGACCTGGAGAATTATGACGCAGAGCGTCATGAGGAGTTCAAACGTTACGAGATGCTGAAGGAGCACGAGAGGAGGGAGTACCTGAAGAGTCTGGACCAGGAGAAGAGAGAGAGGGAGGAGAGGAGGATTGAGGAGCTCAGAGAGAAACACAGGCAGCATCCTAAAGTCAATGCACCAGTGAGTAACAGAGAGTAGGGAGAGATGAGGTTTACTGAGTGATAAGAACTTGGAACTGGGAAGTTTTAGATGGGAAAATTCTGTAAATTTAATTAGTATCACAGATATCTTTGATTTTAAATCAGTATGAATCTGCAGTGTGTGTAGTGTTTACAGTCTGACGGTAATAATTGTGGAGCGATTTTAATCTAGTATGATTAATCCTGTAATGAATCTGCAATGTGTGTAATATTATAGCCAAAATTCGTTTTATTTATTTGTTTGTTTTTTTTATTCCCTCTTCATATTTGCCGTCATTGCCTACTTCCATCACCTCCTCTTCTCCCTGACCCACTATGTTCCTTTTTCTCCCTCCTTCCCTCCAGGGCAGTGTTGACCAGCTTAGGGAAGTGTGGGAGGAGACGGACGGTTTGGACCCACAGGAGTTTAACCCAAAAACCTTCTTCAAACTGCACGGTCAGTTAACGTCTAGAGTCTTCCTTTAATTAAATTCATTAACTCAGTCAAAGTTTGCGGTCAAGTTAGACTGAATGAGGTGTGTTAAATCTGGGAACTCTGTGATGGACTTCACTTTGGCGTCATTTGAAACAAAACTCTTGAAAGCATTTTTGGGCATATATTGATTTATGCGTAGTAGTAGTGTTTGCTACAGCTGATACAAGCATTGCTGTTAATAATCCGACTAACACCTCAATCGGAATAGTCTAGTCTGATTGGGGCCATTCGGAATACAATTTCTGTCTGATTGAATGAGGTGGGTAATCCTGTAAATAATCTGTTAAATAGAAGAATAATAGCTGTGTAAACGCCTGTATCTGATTACATTCCCTATCGGAAAGTTTAAGTCCGTTCTGATCATGTTCGTCACGTCATAGAGGAAGTTTATACCGTTCAACATGGCGGAGCAGAAACTGGTCTGCAGAGGAGACGAAGTTTATGCTCTGAGCTTTAAAAGACGGCGGTGGGACGGACGTCCAGCTTATGTGTCTCAGAACACGACGTCTTCCTCTCGGCCTTCTTTAATAAGGACATGTGAAGGACGTTTTCCTGAGTCTGACATCATTTTAAAGCAGTTAAAAACACAAGCACTGCTCACTGCTGCTCATCTCACTCTGACTGGACTCACGTGATGCTGGTTGTCATGGTAACGTCTATACTAAGTGGTACTCTACGCATGAACGTAATTTTGGATCGGATTACTTGTAGTGAGCGTGTAAACAGATTTATCAGATTGTTGAGTAGAGTGAGAATATAAACACCTCAGTCTTCATCTATAATCAGAATCTATTTAATCTGATTGGCAAAAATCCATTGCTGCATATCTTCTCTACAGTTGGGTTAAAGGAAGGCCTTCAGTGACAGTCACTGCAGACTTTTAATGATTTTTCATATCAAAATTAGCACAACATAAACAAAAAGCATTTTTATTTAGCTTGTATTAACTAGCAGCTCTGCACTTCCTTGTTAATAGTAGATCGCTTTCTAAAAGGAAAAGTGGCAAAGCTTTCTGACTGTATATTGAAATGACAGCCAGCTTCCACAGCTTTAACAGGGTTTTATACAACAGTCAGTTCCGGCCACGCAAGCTGATTGGTTGAGAAATGTTCTAACTGTGCTGTTATTTCGCCATAACATCACAGGTTTGTCACAAACATTGTCACTCCACTGAGACGCCGTTGCTAAGCAACGACTTTGACAGCTGTAGGAGCCATTTGAACGTTTTTACTTCTTACTTTGTGCACAAACAGAAAATGGACACTTTTAAGATCACATTTGACCGACAGCCGATTTGGTCAGACTCTGAAGATGAGACGACACTAAATTCCCAAACCCATCACCACTGAGCAGCTTTTCAGTCGGCAACTGTGACAGAAGAACAGCTAAACAACCTGGAATCAGCCAGAAATGAACCCAATACCATTCGCCAAACGTGTAGTCTGATCTTCAGAGTCTGACCAAATCGGACTGAGCCATAAAACTGCTGCAATAAAAACGAAAAAGCTGCTCAGTGGTGATGATAGTTTGGGAATTTAGTGTGAGGAGCTGGAGAACGAACTGCCGGCTGTGCAGCGAGTGGGCGGAGCTCGTTACTCTGATGTAGCAACAAGCTGCTCGTTAAGGAACTATAATTTGGTGAAGGAACTGCGAACATTAAAACATATTAAACGCCGCGTTCACGGCCCAGTTTATTAATTTATTACTTTATTTATTTCACTGTTGTATTAAAGCAATAGAACACTCGAGGAGTGCTTTATCACCAATAACATCACGGCTGTGATGATCTATGGCGACCAAATCACAGCCGTGATGTTATTCCGCGATAGCACACTCCCTCTCGTGGTCTATTGCTTAAATAACAAGGCTGTGTGACGTATCTCACATTTTTCTATCTTAAAAATAAACATGATGGGAACCCAGTCAGTTTTGGAAGTGGCTACACAAAACGACGTTTGTCAGATGGTGGATCCGACCTCCGTTATTGTTTTCTTTCCTCAGACACAAATGGAGACGGTGTGCTGGATGAACAGGAGCTGGAAGCTCTCTTTACAAAAGAGGTAAATGAGAACGTGTTGTGCTGCCTCTGTTGTTCTGGATGTGTCTGTGACATTAACAGAGATGCTTTGATGTTCTGTATGTTTAATTATGCTGTGTAATTCTTCCCTGATATCAGCTGGAAAAGGTGTACGACCCAAAGAACGAAGAGGATGATATGATGGAAATGGAGGAGGAGAGGCTGAGAATGAGAGAGCATGTCATGAAAAACGTAAGACACATCCTTCTCTCCTTTGGTCACTTTCATTCTCTCTCACCGTTTCTCTGTTCTCAGTCTCTGTCTGGTGTGAGCAGGAAAGCTGAATCTTTATTTGTCCTGTTTTATTGTGTGAACTCTCTCCTTCCTCACTGGGCTGAATGAAGGACTTCATCATTCCTTCATCTGTTTTTCATTTGTCCACCACTGTGCCACATCTGTCCACCTCATTTCCCTTTATTAAGCAGTCAGTCAGACAGCTAGTCTGTCGGTTAGTTAGCTTTTCCGCCAGTCTGTCAGTGTTTTAGCTAGTTAGTGTACCAGCTAGTCAGTCAGCCAGTCTGTCAGTCAGCCAGTCTGTCAGTGTTTTAGCTAGTTAGTGTACCAGCTAGTCTGTGAGAGTCAGTCAGTCAGTCAGCCAGTCTGTCAGTGTTTTAGCTAGTTAGTGTACCAGCTAGTCTGTGAGAGTCAGTCTGTCAGTCAGCCAGTCTGTCAGTGTTTTAGCTAGTTAGTGTACCAGCTAGTCAGTCAGTCAGTCAGTCAGCCAGCCAGCCAGTCAGCCAGTCTGTCAGTCAGCCAGTCTGTCAATGTTTTAGCTAGTTAGTGTACCAGCTAGTCTGTGAGAGTCAGTCAGTCAGTCAGCCAGTCTGTCAGTGTTTTAGCTAGTTAGTGTACCAGCTAGTCAGTCAGTCAGTCAGTCAGCCAGTCAGCCAGTCTGTCAGTGTTTTAGCTAGTTAGTGTACCAGCTAGTCTGTGAGAGTCAGTCAGTCAGTCAGTCAGCCAGTCTGTCAGTGTTTTAGCTAGTTAGTGTACCAGCTAGTCTGTGAGAGTGAGTCAGTCAGTCAGTCAGTCAGTCAGCCAGTCTGTCTGTGTTTTAGCTAGTTAGTGTACCAGTTAGTCTGTCAGTCAGTCTGTCAGTTAGTCTGTCAGTCTGTGTGTCAGTCTGTCAGCTAGTCAGTCTAGTATTCTGTCAGGTAGTTAACTAGTTAATCTGTCCATCAGTCAGCTAGTTAGTCAGTCTGTCTGTGTGTCAGTCAGTCAGCTAGTCAGTCTAGTATTCTGTCAGCTAATCAAGTAGTTAGTTTGTCCCTCGGTCTGCTAGTTAGTCTGTCTGTTGGTCTGCTAGTTAGTCTGTCCCTCGGTCAGCTAGTCTGTTGGTCAGCTGCTTGGTCGGTCTGCTAGTTAGTCTGTCAGCTAGTTTGTCTGTCTGTCTGTCAGCTAGTCAGTCTGTCTGTCTGTTTGTCAGCTAGTCTGTCTGTCTGTCAGCTAGTCTGTCTGTCTGTCTGTCAGTCAGCTAGTCAGCCTGTCTGCCAACTAGATAGTTCGTTTGGTTTTGATTGATTTGTTTATCTTTTATGCACAACAGGTTGACCTGAATCAAGACAGGCTGGTGAGTCTGGATGAGTTCCTTAGATCTACAGAGAAGAAGGAGTTCAACAACGCGAAGGAGTGGGAGGTAGGAGTTAAACTTAACTGAGTCAAATCGTAAATCATTGTATCATTACACCCCTAACTCTACTTCACATGTCATAAGACCCAAAGTTGCTCCCTGTGGCGATTCTCGGTAAAAAGCTTAGATTTAAAGGTTCCTCCATGGAATTTCCTGATTTACGATTCAAGCTACTTTCTTAAACTTTCAAACAATACTCAGACCTAATTGTCAGGCCTGCTACGTTGTTTATTAACACTTTTTTCTTCATTGTATTTGGTCCCCTTAGACGCTGGACGACAAAAAGCCGGTGTACACGGAGGCGGAGCTTCAGAGGTTTGAGGCGGAGCTTCGTGATAAAGAGGTGGAGCTTAGCAGGAGGGCGGAGACACTGAGACAGGAACAGGAACTTCTCAGAGAGAGAGGCAAAGCACTGGAGGCTCAGAAGAGAGAGTACCAGCAGGTGAGGGATGTCGGCTCTACTGCTAAAGGGCTTCACCAGGACACACTGTAACAGTGGTGGACGAAGTACACAAACCATGTACTTGAGTTAAAGTAGAGAGACCCAAGGTAAAATATTACTGTAGTAAAAGTAGAAGTTCCTCCCTTTAGACCTCCACTTGAGTAAAAGTACAAAAGTATTTGCCTTCAAATGTACTTAAGTATCAAAAGTAAAAGTACTAAAAGATTAATTATGGCTCTGATGTCCTATTATCATTTTTATAACAAGACTCGCTTCATTAACTCATTTTAGGTGAAAATACTCCAGTGTCTCTCTTGGTAAACCAGTCTTTTAATAGAGTCATTAATTAGTGACGCTGATGTTTATTAAAATTATCATAAACGCAAAACACTGAAGGCAAACAGTTTCCATCAGGTAGAACTGAGTGGCTCTGAAATCACTTTATACAAACAAGCAAAGTTTCAGTTTAAGATTTATTTGTAAGTTTAAGTTTAATAAAAACTTTAAACTCAGATTCACAAATGAGTTTCCTTTACTAAACTGCATCTGTAGGTCTCTGTTCATAAACATAAACTAGCCAAAACTAATTTACTATAAAATGAAATCGTGTTTGTATAAATTCAGAATAAAGACACGTCAGTCACAACTGCATACGAGTACATATTTCTATATTGTGGTCTGTTCACACAAAGTTAGGTTAGTTCATCATTTATGTTGAATAGACTCTCCCAAAATTTTACGCTGCTGCACTGATGTTGAACCGTGTGCTGCACTGCGTCGGTATGACCAACAGGTCAAAACAAGCTCAAAACAAAGTGACCGCTGTGCCCTGATTGGTGTTCTTGCTTTGTGCTTCTTTCATTTTGACATGTTACGTTTTTATACACACATAAACCAAAAGCAACGACAGATTTCTCATAATGTAGTGGAGTAAAAAGTGAGATATTTACTTTGAAATGTAGTGGAGTGAAAGTAAAAAGTCGCCCAAAATGGAAAAACTTCAGTAAAGTACAGATACACGAAAAAACTACTTAAGTACAGAAACAAATTACATTTACTTCATTACTGTCCACCACTGCACTGTAACTTACAGCTGGTGCCTAATTCAGTCAGTGTAACCTGATGTATTTACCACTGAAACAGGATGATTGCAGACGGGACATTTCCTCTTGAGAATTTGATGTGATTGTGAAAAGTGGGTGTTTCAAAACTAAAGTCAGACGGGTGTTGTCGCTCGGTGATTGGTCAGGATGGTGGGAGGGGGAGGGGGAACATGCTGAGCTGTTATTGCTGGTTGGTGTAATTCTTCCCTGCTGCTGAAACAGTGACGCAACCAAACGTCAGACGGCGTTTACAGGCAGCAGAAGTCCCTGCACTTTGATCAAAGATGATGGACAGACAAGAATTCTGTATTTTGAATGATGTGACACAGTTGATTGTGCTTAATGAGTAATTTAAATGCATGTAAAGGTCCGTTTTGATTTCAGGTTGACTTTAAAGGAATAGAATTAAAGGTACACAATTGTCCCACTTACCCCAAATTTGGCCCATCAACCAAGATTATTGTCCTCAAGTGTGGACGCATTTCAGGCTTCAGTATAGCTGCTACCACTGTTTTAGCCAGGCTGTTGTACTTTAGTCTGTGTTTATAGGTAGCAGTATTTCATACTTTGTCAAAAAACACATAAGCAGGTCTGCTGGAGATACTGAACAACTCCACGCGGTTTGAGGTGGGTGTAATAATTTTTTCACGCAGTTTGCACGATGATCATTGCTTGTTGGCAACATTAGCCTTGTAACTTCAGCATAAAACTAAAGAAGCCTCACGAGTTTGAATAGGAACAGGATGTGGTTGAACTGCTATACTGTCGTCAAACAACTCTTCTTTTTTGTGTGTCTTCTGCGTTCAGGCGGTACTGGAGATGTCTCGGCAGAAGGAGCAGCAGGCAGAGCGCAGACCGCCCCCCTCAGGCCCAAACGGAGAATTGCAGTTCCCACAAGAGATTCAGAAACTGGCTCAAGATGACAATCCAGGTGAGAGAGGGGCAGTGAAATGAACGGAATAGCATAAATTAAATAAATGAATGAGCCGTCTAAGCGTTGGCCCTGTCATTAGGAGATCGTGAGTTCAGTCTCCGGTGATGCTACAGCCATTTGTGGGCGGGAGTTCAAGAGAGCACAGTTGGCCTCTCTCTCTCTGGGTGGGTAGGATGGCCCCCCTCACCCCCATTACTCAGTGCGATGCAAGTCAGCGCAGGCGTCTGTTAGCTGACGTAACAGACTTATGGGGTTCTCCTCCAAGCGTGTTCAGCTGTCCAATGACATTGCATTAGCAGCAGTTCGAGAAGATGCTGTGGCTTCACAGGACTCGGAGGAAGCCTGTGTTCGCCTTCGCCCTCCTAGTGCTGCTGGTATGGTGTGACTGGGGGAGTCCTAACCAGTGGGTGGAATTGGAATCGACTAAATTTGTGAAGAAAATTAAAAACAAAAAAAAAAGAATAGATAACTGCATATTAATTTGACACTCCATATACAGGGAAACAGCTGAGGACTTTTATGAAGTGTGCTTTATAGCCATGTGGGATTTAGCCTAATACCTGCTCACACTACTTGTGATGATGCAAAAAAATCTGAGTTATTATTCATATTTGCACATTCTGCTGTATTTGGGCAAAAATCACATCTAATCTCAGTATTTGCTCTGAGAAATTTAGTTTTTATCAAAAGATGTAAAAGTAAGGAATATCGCTGCTGACTGAAGAAAACCTTCTGTCTCCATTTTTGTCGTTTTTCAGTTTTTGACATTATTAGAAAATACCTGTTGTCCTTTACATTGTGTGTAAATTTCATGATAAATGGACCAAAATAAACAACCTAAAATGGCTTGGAAAAAAGTCTGGTTCCATTGACTTACATTAAAAGTAGGGGATGTTTTTTCCTTCTCCTGTAAAGTTACCATTTTGGAGATACAAGGTTTTCTTCCAACAACACCGATATTATTAATTTGTATTTCTTTATATTATTAATTTTAGCCATATATGATGTGTTATTAATTTCTGACTAGGTCACACTGTTGGGTGTGTCTGTGTAATTTTTGGATAGCTTAATTTCCAGCAGTGCTGTGTACATGCACAAGTGCTATCAGTTTAGAGCTGCTTCTCAGCTTTTTTGATGAACCGGCAGTGATGACAGTAGCTGTAGTTGAGGACTGTTTTGTATCTGAGTGGCAACATAAATGGACGGCTTCTCACCGTCTTTGGCTGGTGTCTCTCTGTACACCACACACAGTGGATTATGGGTATTAACATACCCAGTGATGATGAATTTGTATTTTATGCAGCGCTCATCATATTTTCCATTGCTTTATGCTTTAGGTATCATTTTTTTCATTTTGTTTTTTCTGGATTTACAACCCCAGTAAAAAATTTGTTTGTATAATTTTTCTTTTTCACTAATGAACGTTTTAATAACAAGAATTATGCCTTAAAAATGGCACTATAATTATGAATTACAATAACAATAATAAATAGTTGATTTCAGCAGTTGGGCTACTAACTCTACTCTCCTCATTGCCACATTGTTATGACCCGGCCCAGTACCGGTTCACAGCCTGATGGTAGGGTTAGAGAATAAGGCTAGTATTTTTCTGAATTGCATTTTGAGCCCTTTCTTCAACATTTTCTACAATAATTGTCCTGATAAAGCTAACAGTGTGCCTTTTGTCTTCCAGTTGGCAAGGTCCCGATTGATCAGAACGGAGAAGTCCAGAACAACCTGCCTGCTGAACCGCCACAGAACCTTCCCCAGCACACCTCTTAACAAACTGCCTCGTAGAACACACCCACACCAGCGTCGTACTCCTAATACAGTTCTTAAAAGGCACATAATAGTCCGCCTCGTACAGTGAAACTACACAGACATCCTCCACACCTGGAAATACATGCTACTAAACATCTTCTCGTACTGGATTCTACACAACTTTAACAGTTTGGCCTCTAGTCTAGATCAGTGATGGACTTGCATAGCCTAGATCATCAATATGCACTCGTTGCATGTTTTTTGATGTGTTGCTGAAGAATGTGTGAAAAAAGGCTGTGAAATTTTTTACATATTTAAGCAATTTGGTGTTTTGTGACTTTTTTTGGTTGTGAAATTAGTACTTCAAGACTGCACTTTCAAAAGGAATGTGTTAAAAACAGCACAGTGTGTTATTTTTTTATTATATCTATATATACGTCCGTTTATACAACACATTTTGTGTTGGTCTTAAAGAGGAATTCCACCAATTGTTTCAAAATTTGTGCATAATTTAGTGGTTTGGTTCAGATGGTTCAGATGTCTTTACAGTGGTGGTGATAGGAACTAGGGGTCGCCATGACTACAACACAAATATACACATTTTATTTACTATCCAGAACCACCAGTGAACCAACATGAGTCTTTTGAGCTTCATATGGAATGTTGTTAAAATGGTATTACCATATGTGTGTGTATATGTGTGTGTGTGTGTATGTGTATATATATATATATACACACATACACACACACACATGTACACATTCTCAAGACTATCAGAGCTTTTAGAGGTGGATGTCTGGTTCCTATCACTACCACTGTGAACAATCCTGGCCACTCTGAATGACTTTACATCCTAATCATATAATTATGCAGGAATTTTTAAAAATTTGGCGGAATTCCCCTTCCATACAGCATGTGTTGAAACAGTGATGAGACAAAAAGTAGTGTGTTGTTATTAACGCAGTGTTTTGAGTGTGCCGGGTGGTTTCCTTAGTAACGGTAACCTAGGGTTCTTCTGCTGTCTCCTCAGATACCTCGTCTCGCATAGTGCCGAAACGCGCCGCGTGCTTTAAACGTTGCACATTTTACCCTTTAAAAACGTTTAACGCTCACTGTCACAGCGCTGTCACAGTACTGATGGACACACACACACACACACACACACACACACACACACACACACACACACACACACACACACACACACGCCGCAGATGGAGCTGGGGTCTTACGGTTCATTTCTGTGGATGATCATTAATATCTTTAATAAAGTCCTCTGTACAGACACTGTGTGAGGCTGCGTGAGTTTATCGGGTGCTGTGGGGTTTTGGAGGGAAGCCCTTCTGTTCACATTTCATCTTTCATTCAGGCTGCTGACCTTTGACCCTGTGCCTGAATTGGTGAGATGTTTGGCATTTTTCCCTGTCAGTCTCTTCCTGACTTCTGACGCGTTTCCTGCTCTTTATTAGTGTATTATTGTTTGTTTAGTGCCGTCGGGTCGTTCTGACTCTGCTGTCCATCTGGAGGGAGTTCATTTCCCAGTGAGCTGGTTCCTCTGAGAACGGGTCCAAAAGCAGAGCTGCAGTTTGGGTATCGGGTGAAAGACGAGGCTTCGTTTGGTCAACAGTCCACTTTCGTTTGGATAAGAAATGAACAGTGCTGTCTCCTTCTTTTCTTTCTTTCTTTCTTTTCTTTTTTCTTTCTTTGCTTCTTTTCTTTCTTTCTTTCTTTCATATAGTCTCTCTCTCTCCTTTTTATCTATCCTGTCTTTCTTTCTTGCTCTCTCTCTCTCTTTCACCCCATCTCCTTTTATCTTTTATCTCTGTTGCTTCTTTAATCGAAGTCTCTCTCTCTCTCTCTCTCTCTCTCTCTCTCTCTCTCTCTCTCACTCTCTCTCTCTCTGTCTCTTTCACCCCATCTCCTTTTATCTTTTATCTCTGTTGCTTCTTTAATCGTAGTCTCTCTCTCTCTCTCTCTCTCTCTCTCTCTCCCCCCCCTCTCCCCCCATGCTCGTTCCCTGTCCCCTCACTCAATCTTCTTCTACCCTTCTCTCGTTCTCCCTTTCTTTTTTCTTTCTTTTACTTTTTCCCTCTTTCTCCATTGTTCGTCTTCATCCTCTGCTCCTATAGTCTTTCTCTCTCGTTTTCTATCCATCTCTTTCTTTCTTGCACTTTCACTCAGCCCTTTTTCTTTCATCTTTTTCTCTCATTCTCTGTCCCTCCTCTCATAGTAGTCTCTTTCTCAATCTCTTTTTCTTTCTTTTTCTTTTTCATTCTCTTTCTCTTATTTTTTCTCATTCTCAGTCTATCCTCAGTCTCTTTCTCTCTCTCTCTCTCGTTTCCTATCCTCTCACTCGATCTCCTTCTACCCTTCTCTCTTTCGCTCTCCCTTTCTTTCTTTTATTTTTCTTTCTCACTCTTCCTCTCTCTCTTTCTCCATTGTTCTCTTTCTCAACCTCAGTCTCTCCTATAGTGTCTCTCTCTCTCTCCCACTCATTTCTTACCCTCTCAATCTCTTTCTCTTGTGCTCTCTCTTTCTTTCTTTCTCTCTTTCTCTCTCATTCACCCATTCTCTTTTTCCTTTTGTCTTTTTCTTTCTCATTCTATCCCGCCTCACATGGTAGTCTCTCACTCTTTCTCACTTTCTTTCTCTCACTCTCCCTTCCTCTCTTTCTTGTTCTCCTTCTCCCTTGTTCTTTTTCTCATTTTCTCCTCCTGTGGTCTCTTTCTCTCTCTCACCTGCTTGTTTCCTGTCCTGTTACTGGCAGTCTGACTGTGTTAAGTACAGTGTTGTCAAAGCACAACTTTAAAGTTGAACTGGTTAAAATTTCAGTGTTTGAGAATTTTTAATTTGTGAAATTTTCTCTTTATGGTGTGAATTTTTCACAGTAAAGGAGGAAGTGCAGTTCTGTCTGGACCTCACCGCTCTCTTCATTTTTCTCTCCTCTCTTTCTCATTCTCTTCTTTCTTTCTCATTCTCTCCCTCCTTGTTTTACTCCCATTTAGTTTTCTCTCTTGTTCTTTCTCCCTTTTTCTTTCTTCCTGTTTTGCTCCACTTTCTCATTAGTTCTCTCTCTCTCTCTCTCTCTCTCTCTCTCTCTCTCTGTCTGTCGTGTGTGTGTGTGTGTGTGTGTGCTTGTCTGCATGTTTTACTCGCGCTCCTGATCACATGCCACATTCCAGCTTCAGATTCCTTCCCATAACACTCTGTAACCCCGGCGACCCTGCAGCCCCGCCTCCTGCAGCTGTCACCTGTCAGTCAAACCCCTCAGTGGCCTCCACACTGGGGTCAGGGGTGTAAAAGCTTCTGTTTAATTAGTGACTGCTGATTTTCCCTCTGTGTCCAAGAGTGTTCGCAAAGTTTATTTACCTCTGTTTTAAAAAATCTAATTCACCCTGTTTTCCTTATTACCTCAAACACAGTTATGTAAATATAGTTATCAGCCGTAATGTTTGGTGTCTAAAGTTTGCTTAATTTTTTGCAAGCTACGAGGCTAATGTAGCGAAACACTACATGCCTAAATCATCACACACCACAAACCCTGTGGAGTTGTTAAGTAATCAATAATGGATTTGCTTGTGGTTTCTGACACTGGCCATTCAGAATACAGTTTCTGTGATTGAACGAGGTGGGTAATCCTGCAAATAATCCATTAAATAGAAGAATAATATCTGTGTTTAAGGCTTGTATCTGATTACATTCCCTATCAGAAAGTTTAAGTCCGTTCTGATCACGTTCGTCACGTCATAGTGAAAGTTTATACCGTTCAACATGGCGGAGCAGAAACTGGTCTGCAGAGGAGACGAAGTTTATGCTCTGATCTTTAAAAGACGGCGGTGGGACGGACGTCCAGCTTCCTCTCGGCCTTCTTTAATAAGGACGTAAAGGACGTTTTCCTGAGTCTGACATCATTTTAAAGTCATTAAAAACACAAGCACTGCTCACTGCTGCTCATCTCACTCTGACAGGACTCACGTGATGCTGGTTGTCTAAGTGGTTCTCTAAGCATGAGCATAATTTTGGATCGGATTTCTTGTAGTGAGCATGCAAACAGAGATTTTCCGTCAGATTTCTGCCTATCGAGCTAAATGTCCTGCTTAAGTATCAAACCTGTAGTGTATCTTCTCTTGGTACATGGAATGAACCGAAATTGTGAATCTCTTGTCTGTTGTTCCTTAAAAAAAGAACTGTGAAGTTGCACAAGACTGGTATTTTCACTCGTGATCCTCTGCTGCTCAAACTACTTGAACGTGTCTATGCTGACTGGAGCAGGAGAGTGAAGGAGCAAATGCCATATTATTCACTGTGGGTTGGTTTATCAGACAGGGTTTAAGTCTAGACAACATTGTGAATGGAGAGTGTCAGGTGAAAAGGAAATGCATTTGAGGACTAGGCCTGGAGTCGGCAGCCGAAAGGTTAAGAAGAGCCATTTTGTCCTTTCAATAATAATCAAGCCACCTTGAAAGCCACAACATGTTATGTCCATTTTACCATCTTGGCTGTTAATATGTCTCAGTATGTTCTGATGTTCTAGTATAGACTAAAAATATAAATGAAAAAACTTACTTTGCTCTGCTTTAAGCTTTAGCTCAGCTATAGCTGCTTTTCTCGCATCTCCAGCAGGAAACACTTTTCACAAAAGTAGAATAGTGTCTTATAAAATGTCTCTCAACGTTTGATTGAGGCTGAAGTCGCTACTCATTTGCCAGCTTCTCGTTCAAATTTCCACCTTAAATGGTGCCAGAATGTAACTGCTGCACCAGGTGGAACGTGAAAATTTGAACGAGAAGCTGGCGAATGAGAAGCGACTTCAGGTTTATGACTTTTTTTTAGAGTTTGTCAGTTTCTCATTGCAGATTAAACATATCAGGAAACCAATTGAGTGCCTATAAATGCAAACAAGTCTCCAAATTATCGATATTCATCTTAAATCTTTGACTTTTCGTTAGCTACTAGCTAGATGAGACTGTTGTCTGCGTTGCTATGGTGACCAGCAGTCTGTGCGCTGATCTTCAGGATTAAAGGGTGAATCAGCAGTTCTACATTAACTCCAGAGTTTAAGACCATTTATTGTTAAACTGTGTTGAACGATCAGCAGAGCTTTATTTTACTGTAAAGGAGGATTATTTTATTTTTACCTACAAATCTGATTCTGTGGAGCCACAACAGGACAGTAAAAGAGCCACATGCAGCTCCAGAGCCACATGTTGCCAAGCCCTGGACTAGGCTTAATTAAGTCCAGGAAACCCACCCTGGGTGTCGTTACCATTTAATCGATTTGACACTTTGTTGGAGGTTTGGGTCAAAAGTCTGAAAACCGAAAGTGCCATTTTTGACCATTATTGGCCATCAATTTTCAGTGGCTGAAATGACCCTGCATCCCTACTGACAGTGTTCATAACATGCTCAGGTAAGTGTACTGTGGCATAATTTATCACAATAATGGAAACTATCATGGTATTTCCCAACCGTAATGATATGGACACAGATACATCACCGCTAAAGCATCAGGACATCTTGAAGCCTGAATATGTCTGTTCTGATCTGTACTTTAGTCCATGTTTATAGATAAATGTCTCCTACAGTGTCAGAAACCACATAATCAAGTTTATTAGAGATACTGAACACCTCCACACGCTTTGAGGCGAGTGTGTGATAATTTAGTTGTGCATTTAGCCCCATGCTAAAAGTTAACTGGGTCATTCTACAGAAACGACCACTTTTCTGTCTCTCCATAGGAGTCACTGGTGTTACTGATCCTCATTGGTGTTGCACATAAGAAAGGAAACACCAGAGACGTTTTTAATGAACAATGCATTTTACAAAACAACTGCTACAGAGCATCAAACCACATGTTGTCAATCATGGAAAATCCACTAAAATATGTCATTTAATCCATTTGTATTGTATTTTTTCACAGTTACCTCGGAATAAAGTCGGTCACACCAGTGACTTCAGCTGAAAGCTTCATATGAAATCATGAGCTAAATGAGAAAATCTCTGATAACTGAAAGACACAGTGGACTCACCATGTGCTTTTCTTCATAGATCCTCAGGAAACAGGTAAAAGGAAGTCGAGTGATGTCATCAGTGTGATTTTTATTTCAAAATAGGAGTTTTTTTTTATGCAGTAACACCAGTGACACGACTCCTGGGGAACTTTCATTATATATTTTATAATATTTATTTGTCATTTGTTTTCTTTGTCATTTAAATCATATATTTCATAATCACGTATAGATTATTGCAGTTAAAACTGCAGAAAAAGATGTTTTTTACCTCAAAAT